TCCGGCCTCGGCGCCGTGACGACCACCACGGCCGACCCGATGCACACGGGGATGGTGGACCTGGGGAACCAAACCACCGTCGCCGCGGGGTTTGTGAGCGTGCCCGTGACGTCCCACGAGGTTGCCGTCTCGTCGGCGGCCATGATTTCTCTCCTCATCTTCTCGATGGTCTTCAACCTGCTCCTCGGGGGCACGCTGGCGCTGACGCCGAGCCTGCGCACGCCGCCCAACGCGCTGCTGATGAACATTTGCGTCACCAGCATCGTGCTCTGCCGTCCTCCCATGGCCATGCAGCTGCCCAGCGTGCTCGACCCGCAGCGCCCCCTGACGGGCCCAGTCTGCGATGCAGTCCTGTTCCTGGACTCCCTCTGCGGCATCGAGTACTGGTTCAGCTTCATCTCCATCGCCGTCTACCGCATCAAGACCCTGCACGACACGCAGTTCAGCGTGCGCTACAAGAAGACCCTAGCGGCCGTCTGCATCAGTGCAGGCTGGCTGATCGCCCTGCTCTTCAGCACCATCATAACCGCTCGGGACGCCAAAGACGCCGACCGGCTACTGGCGTGCCCGTTCAGCAGGGTCCTGCGCATCCGGCCAGGCCCCACGCAGAAAAACTCCACCCTCTTTACGGTCTGCGTCCTCCTCGTCACGCTCTGCCTCTCGGGCTTCTTGGTCATCGTCTACGCCTACATCAACGTCTTCAAGAAGGCAAAGCCCCTCAAGTACAGCAGAACCAAGATCAACCAGGTATCTCAATCTTCTTCTTTAATACTTCCGGGTAAGTGAATATTGTTTTGAGTGGCCGAGTAGTGGGTTTGTGTATTTGTCCGGGAAGACTAGGTTGACAGAATTGGGTGTGGGAAAATTAATATCAAAAGGTCTCAGAATCTTAACCTCTCTCTCATGACCACAATGAATACGGCCAAGAAGTCCGATTTGTGTATTTCATGAAACAAAGAAGTCTCAACAAACAAACAAACAAGCGAACAAACAAAATGAACGATTCACTATCATCCTCCGCAGGTGAACCCACTAGAGCCTGCTAACGGCACGACCCGGCAGGCGTCCGTGAAGCACTCCCCGGCGGCGAGCGTGCACGAGATGGTGGTGCTGGAGAACCGCCTGCCGCATAACGACCTGCCGTTCTACCGGACCCAGCACGTCATCGCCTGGGCGGGCTCGGACCCGGCAGAACGGGCAGCGGCAGCCGCCGACAACAACGTCAACTTCTCCGCCATCGTCTGCAAGGACCGGCGATCCACTCAGGTACTTATATTGAAATTTTTAAAGTTCTCTCCGCGCAACCATACGTGCTTATCGCAGTAGACACCAGTCAAGTGCAAAACGTTATGTAGCAATTGAAAAGAATTGTGAAATCCTAAAATAAGCCAATACTTTACTTTACATTGTTACTCACGGGCACGAAAGTGTTTTTGAGTGACTGGGCTGTGGGCTGTGTATCTGTTTGACCGGACTGAGTAGGTGCAGCACAAGGCGGTCAAACGAAGGACAGGCACTGAAAATTGGGTGAACATGAAGGTCCCAGAATCGGTCCTGGAGCCAGTAGGAATTAGAAGTCGACATGGGGGAATTCAGGCAGCCGAGGATTGCATGCTCCCTGGGAGACTGAAATCTCCGACTTTTTGTTCATACACGAGTCCATGTTAGACATTTTATATATTGAGAAAAACCTAAAGGTCTCAGGCAGGAGTTTTGTTTTCCTATGTCCCCAGGGGTCGCTCCCGTCCGTGTCTGACGACATGGAGACTAGCGACATCTCAGGCACCATGACGTCATACAAGTATCGGATGACGCGTCCCGTCAAGCAGCAGGTGCTGCAGCAGGTCTGTTGTTTGTTTGTTTGTTTGTTTGTTTGTATTTACCTCTACCAATGCCATTACGCGTTTGTAAAATTAAAGGTAGAATGTCATACTTTTTTTTCTGATCCATTGCTCAAAGAAGTGGCCCATGCCGTCTTAGATGGTTTTCATTAGGTATCTGGTATTCGAAATTGTTCCAGAGACATGATACCAGGGGTGAGGTCAAAGGTCCCCAGAAGTCTATATCGTCTGCCGTCCGCGGGAAAAACAAATTATCAAATTTTTGCTCGATCGAATAGAGAACACATGACGTCAGGAGTAGGTCAAAGGTGCCCAGAAGTCAATATCGCCCACCGTCCCAGAAAAGAAAAGTGAGATCCAATTTTTTCACATTCAGGTCGAGAACAAGTTGGCGAACCCCGGCGCGAACCACCGCGACGCCGCCCTGACCCTGGCGCGGACCTACTCCCGCAGGAAGAAGGACCGACTGGGCCGGACACCGACTGACCAGATGGCCGCCAGAAACAGGTTTGTTTGTTTGTTTGTTTGTTTGTTTGTCTGTATGTAAACACCATAACTCCAGCACGCTTAGATGGATTCTCTTGACATTCCTTAGGTGGGTTGATCTCGACGAGACCTCACAATGAGCAGATTTTTGGCCACCAGGCGGCTTGCTATGCCTATGATTCTGCAGTGGAATGTCCGGTTGTGATATCTTTTTCTTTGTTACTAATCTTGACCCTTTCCCACCCCAGTATCGCCATGGTCGTGATCTACATCATCTTCACGGTGCCGATCATCGTGCTGACGTTCCAGGACCTGATGGGGGTGGAGGAGCGCCTCGACAACGTCCTGTCCCAGCGGACCTGCAAGCTCATCTTCTACGTCAACGGCACGGCCTACCCCGTCTGGTACCTCCTCTTCAGCCCCACCGTGCGCAACTGCATCAAGTCGGTCATCGAGTCGGCAGCCGTGTACCTGACCGCAAGGAAACAGTAGACTTGAACTTAAGCAGCTGGACAACGCCCTGTTCCAGCAGACCGACAAGTTCATCTTCTACAGCTACATGCCATCTGTACTTGGTTTTCGGTCCAAGTGCGCCACCCAATCAGCGGCGGTCTACCTGTCCACGAGGAAATGGCAAATTTAAGATAAACGAAAACTGGGACTGAAAAACGTCCGGATAATGTCCACCGGGAAACAGTAGACCTGAACAGTAGTGCCAAGGACGTTGTCAGTGGATAGAACTGAAAAGACGGGACCACAGAGAGATGATATATATATTAGTGCCAATGGGCGACACCCCCACCAAAAGCAGAAGTACTCTTGTGACAAGGTTTGACCATATGTACACTCTCTATGCGGAAGCAGCAGGGTAGACCTAGAGGGTATGGAAGAAATGAACATGGCAATGAATTAAAGGCGTCACGTTGGTCCCACGTCACCGCACGATTTTGAAGATTCTGTGACGATGTGGCCGGGTGTTTAAAGTTTAAGCAACAGTCTCACACGAAAAAGCGGGACCATGAAGCTTTTGAAGACCAGTATCGGGCCCACCGTACGCGTAATCCAGTACCCGTCCATACGGAAGTGTGTACAGCCGAAGAAGACTTGTTTCAAGACCATTTCCAGATGAACAAATGTCAAGACTAGCCGAGACCATATCAAAATGGAAATGTATCTTTATATGTTCTCCACTAGTCCACTTGGGACTAGGAGAGACACGGAGGACTGTTTATCTATGTTCAGTGTATCCGGACTGATTTTTGTAAACAACAATAACTACTACATGGTAAGCATTCTATTGTTTTGTACCTTGTATATAATCAGCTTCATGTAAACCTACAGTCTCGTCGTGGAAACACTAACCCTCACCCCCCCCCCTCCACGAAAAACTTTGCACAGAGACAAAGTAACGACGAAGACACCAGAAATCAACCGAGAGCTATCGAACAAAACAGCGGGCAAGACAAATTGGTATATTTGTTTGCGCGAGGAAGGATTGTTTAAAGTGCCACATGCATCTTATTGTTGGACGCATATCTTCAAACGGCGAAAAATTTGCCACAATTTCAGTGCCATACACATGTTCTCACTAGCGGAAAAAAGACTTCCAACTGAAAGTAAGAGACAACAAGGACGGTCAACGACACTTGTGTTTCAAATGCATTGCAGGCGCTTGAAATGTATGAAACAAAAACACTTCCTGGACTCATATCATATGCCATGTGAAACAGTGGTGCTATGTCACTGAGCCATGTTCTATATTCTCAAGGAAAAAGGAGAAGGAAGGCACTTATACAAAAATAACCTAGATGTGTCAATTTTGTACTTTCTATACATTAATGCATGTTGATTTTATCACATGCTATTTTTATTGTCAATGGTCGCTTCAATAATGGAATGTGTTGTCAAGTCTTCATGATCAGGAAATGTGCTAGTGTAAGTTGAAGTGCCAAAGAAAGTGTCAGTAATTTTGTACGTAGAACTTAGGTATGGAGTGCTTGCACGTCACAGCCGCCAATTTGGTTGGTTACACTTGTTAGAATCATACTTGTAATTTGGCTGTAAATTTCTACATAATGTGACAATTTTGTGACTGTAGTTGTTGCATCGTTTTTTTATACAAATTCAAATTTAGCTGACATCCGTTCTAGATTTAATTATCCAACATGGCGGAAACTTCTTACGCCATGGTCACGTGAGTGCAAACACCCTATTGAAGCCGGATATAATTTCATTTTTACTTACGCGTGTCCAGCTAAGGTAACATGTTTTGTACTCAATTGTGAATACTGGTCACTTTAAGTTTGGATAGAAATTTACAATCTCAACAAATTTCTAATGTCAAATGTCTCTACAATTACATGGCGTATGGTACTTCATAACGAGAGGTGACGAGCCTAATGTAGAAAAGAGCATGCTGATTGTGAATCTATGAACAAATGAAAGTTAGGTGACGAGCCTGATGTAGCATGGTGATTGTGAAACTGTCATCAAATGAAATTTAGAAAAAAAACTTTCCAAATGAAAATTGATCAGTGTTTAGTGTTATGCCAAGACTATTGATAATTTTTTAATCTCAGATTTAATCGTTATATTTATAGCTGTAATCTACCGGGCTAGGACACCCCCAACAGTGTACGTATGTTGCTGCGAATGACATAATCAGCGCTGAGACATCTGGCCAATCTTGCAATGACCCACAAAATCTATATTTTTTCAAGTCGATTCTTAAAAGTTACGTTGTACGAATTCACGCGAGACTTCAGACTTTGCGTGAGCGTGCGAGAACGACGTTCGAACCTGTCCAGCCAATCAGCAATGAGCAGGTGGGCGTGGCCTTGGCCTTGAAAGTTCTCGCGTATTCACGTGTGGTACCAAGTCTCGCGCGAGTTTTTATCATGATGACTATGAAAGGCCGTCACTTTCGGCACGTATTATGCTGATTGTAAAATTCACAGACTTTTAGCCCTAACGTAAAATGTTGCATCTATGTTCCTGTATATCCTGTGCTTCGTTTCTATTTAATGGTCAAACTTGGTGGTATTTAATGAACAACTGTAACGGAAACCTGCCTCACACCAAAATCATGTTGCACGGACGCTGACATTTAAACCAGAACACTTCCAGCGAGCCTCCACCTTACCTGTATACCCGCCTCTGGCAAAAAAAAGACGAATATTTTACCTTATCTAAGTCTGCCTCCTGCCTCTATGTGATTGTGTGTGTCTGTGTCTGTGCATGAGAGTGTTGCTTAAGCACCGATATATGAGCCATTATAGTTACGATTCGCCTGCTTTCGCAGTTTATTTCGTTTTAAACATGTACAAAACTACTACCACATACCTGTCATACGTATATACGTTTTATACAAGTTCAAGATCAACAAATCTTCACACAGATCTGTATAGTATATAGAAACAAAAGTTTCAAATTTTATGAACAGTAAGGGTTGACATGTAGTAGTAACATATGGTAGTAACAGTAGGATAGATAATTTGATTAGTCAAGTACATCATGATTAACCTCACGAAATAGATTCTTCAATGGAATGACTTCATTGACAACAAGTCAATAATTATGAGGTTTGATATGTATAATATCTTACGTGGTAGTCAATCTTAAAAGTGTGTGCTGATGATGTCATGGTTGATTTGGCACGTCCACTTTTGCTACTTTTTAATCCTTTTTGCGAATATCAAACATCCAACATTAGTAATCTTTGACACTTCCTGAAAATATTGCACATTTTACACACTGCGTAGAGTACTGACATAGCAGCAAACGTCACAACTTTCATTTCACAATATCATATAACACCGAATTCATGATTATGTTTATTATATCAATAAGTCCACCTTGCTCACTGCATGCGGAAAAAACGACACAGGCGAACTAGTCCATTATCGTGGACTGTAGGGGTGGAAGAAACACGCAAGGAGGCTGGAAACGTGTGAAGAAATATAACCCTCACGTAAGAAAATATAGTAAATACAATTTCACACCCCTAACGGGTTATGTGGATTCGTCCTGCGTTCGCTCGGCTGCATGTGTACAACAGGTGGGCGATGCCATCACTTGGGGTCTTGGGGATAGAACCTGCCCCCCCCCCAAAAAAAAAAATCAAATTCACGCGAATGGAAGTGATATGATATACACCCCTAACACATTGAATGGAATCGTCCGTGTACGACTCGTGTACAACAACAGGTGGGCGATACCATCACTTGGGGTCCGTGGGGATGCTTGCCCCCACCCCCTCCTCCCCCTCTATGACGACGCTGGCGATCTCCCTCCCGTCGCTCAGCTTGAGCTCGCCCTTCTTGGCCATGCCCTTCATCTGGGACGCCAGCATCTTAATGTACTTCTTCTGGGCCATCTCACGGAGGGACGAGTCCACGTTGTCGCCCTTGATCACCACCAGGAGCTGGTCCGGCTGCAGACCGTGCAGGACCTGGGAACAACAACAATCCAAAACATAAGGTCAGTCTGTTACCATGGTAACAGGTGCTGTAGCAGACACCTTGTGGTGTTGGGTTACATAATGTCACCCTTAATCACTAACAAGAGCTGGTCCGGCTGCAGACCGTGCAGTACCTGGGGAAAAAACAACATCCAGACACATAAGGTCAATAACCTGGACCAGATGTCTGTCACCATGGTAACTGGTGCTGTAGCAGACACCTGGTGGTGTTGGGTTACGTCCTACGACCATCGCACGGTACACGGTCGCAAACTGTCTTGTGATAGTCGTACATGTCTCCTACAAAAGTCTGCGGTCCTGTTACGGAAAAGGCTCAGCAAAGCAAAAGACGAATACAACGATGTGCCTCTAGCCGCAAAACATGCATCTACTGGTCTGCATCATTCACAAAACCAGAAAACATACTCGGATATTCTTTGCTCTGTGCATGCCAAGGACGCGTTTCGTAACCCGCCTACCCCCTGACTGCGTTAACCTAATCGGCTTAAGCTGACTGAGCGGACACCAAAGCGACCATGCATATGATAGCGCAGCATGAAAATCTAACCTCATTAAATTAGCTTTATGTAATCCGTACATCTCGGGGACACGTCCTGGTTGTATAACACCATGTTCTCTGATCTTTTATCGTATTCAAAGGCATCTAATGCAATTTCGGGGCGGCAAAACTGGGGCTTTCAAACTTAATTTTCTGGTCATTATTTCAATGTAGAAAGTTGAATGCTACCCATAGCCCTATATCACGCAGCATGATGATATCTGTGAGGCAAAATGCGATGTCGCTGACGGAAAACGGTTGCTTGTTTTGTATTATAGGCTTGTTCTAGCTATTTATGGGTGGTATAACTGCGTTCTTGGATACGCGAAGACTATCCAGAACCGTTTCTCATCCTAACCCTAGCCCATTCAGGAATAGAACTAGATCGGGACGGTTCTGGATACTATACTAATCTTGTACCTTTATCTAGTCCAGGATACATGTAACGCGCAGCTGGATCAGTGTATTAATGACTAGACATCATTTGTTGTTTGGCCTGTCGGATGAATAATTGCTTATAAATGGAAACCTGTGATTTTATTAAGCTTTGCAAGCGACGTGTTGCACCATATCCTGTTTACTTTCATTATTCTCAACCATGGTTGAACTAACAGCATTATGTGCATATAAAGTAGTGGATGCTCCTAGAAACGTCTGACCGTTTTTTAATGCATTGAATTGCTTGGGTAATAGATTCTTTGTGTATAGTAAATGTGTTAAGTGTACAGAGATTACTTTATTTCATGCTGTTATCCCGCATGTATTTCAAAACCACACCAATTCCTTACTACATTTTGTTAATGGCACCGTGGCTACAAATGTTGCTCTATGTTATGTTATTTTGTTACATTTTCTTCAGGCTGCAGATTGGTCACAAATTACTCCTGTCGAATCAACTTCGCGTTCTGAACTCCAGTACCCTTCAGTGACGCACGGAGCACGCTGCTGGAATATTTATTGAATACCGAACGTCGACAAGCAAAACACCTCGAGCCGCTCGTCTCTATTCTTCTAGCCTTATTAAGTGTACTATCACGACTCTTTGTACTCATTGGTAGCCTCCACGTGTCTGTGGAATATCGCAAATGTCAAGGAAAACATCTCGAGCCGCTAGTCTCTATTCTTCCAACCTCATTAAAGTGCACTATATGTACTATTACAACCATTTGTACTCGTTGGTAGCTGTCATACAACCTTCTCGTGTACGCCTGAGGAATTTTTGATGTTGAATATCAAGGAAAACCTCGAGCTGCGTGTCTCTATTCTTCTATCCTTATTTAAGTGTACTATTACTACTCTTTGTTAACAGCCATACAATCTTCGTATGTACGCCGGACGAATATTGGATGCTAAATGTCAAGCAAAAGACCTTGGGCCGCTCGTCTCTATTCTTCTAACCTTATTAAAGTCTACCACGAGTATTACTACCCTTTGTACTCGTTGGTGGCTGCCATACAATCTTCGCGCGTGTACGCCTGTGGAATATTAGATGTTGAATGTCAAGCAAAACACCTCGAGCCGCTCGCCTCTATTATTCTTCTAATCTTATTACAGTGTACGATCGCGACTCTTTGTACTCGTTGGTAGCTTTCATACGGACTCCACGTGTACGCCTGAGGAATATCGCAAATGTCAAGAAAAACACCTCGACCCGCTCGTCTCTATTCTTCTAACCTTATTAAAGTCTACTACGAGTATTACTACCCTTTGTACTCGTTGGTGACAGCCATACAATCTTCGGGTGTACGCCTGAGGAATATTGGATGCGAAATGTCAAGCAAAACACCTTGGGCCGCTCGTCTCTATTCTTCTAATCATATTAGAGTCTACTCTATAGCTACTCTTTGTACTCGTTGGTAGCTGCCATACAATCTTCGCGCGTGTACGCCTGTGGAATATTGGATGTTGAATGTCAGGCAAATGCCTCTGGCGCCGCGTCTATATTCTAGCCTTTGAAAGACCTATACTCGTTACTCTTTGTGGAAACCAGCGACATTAGGGAGGGCCTGCATGGGGGTAGTGACTGCGAATTACCACGGTGTAAATATTTGTCACTTTTTGTTACACTGCCCTAACTACATTCAACAACGAAATATCCTTTTTGACAACTTGATAACACTGATTGGCTCTACTACTTTGGATAATCTTTCTGATGATACTCTGCTACATGTTCTTTTAAATGGCTCTTCTTCTTTCTCAACAACGTACAATATACAATTACTACAGCATGTCCAGGAATTTTTGTTGGAATCTCGCCGTTTTTGTAACTATAGTTGATTAA